CATCCTTACAGCAGACTTTTCAGGAAAGCCCTGTTTCCTCAGCAAATCCTTCCGAGTCCTTCTGTATCTCTGACGTGTCACCACGAGAGTTAGGAATTTGCTTTTCTGTTTTTTACCCTTTAAAATAATAATAAAAATACCTTCCTGATCCTATTGCTACTAGAGAAAAAGGAGACCGTATATATTTGTCGATGCCCTTTTCAGAATCCTTCAAAGCCCCGGTGCTTATTTGCTTAAAAGTTAGACTTCTAGCCATCATGACTGCAGCAGCTGAGGCTGAAAATCTAACCATGAGAAAGGAAGGAAGATGTGAAATCCAAGAGGCAAATTGAAGTGTGCCTGAATGCTTTCCTTTTTCCCCCTCTCTTGTGACTTGAGCCCATCTGTCAGGATTTTTCGAAGGCTGACTCAGGCTTTTCACACTGATGGTTAATAGTAAGAATATCGTAGAACACGAGCAACTTGCCCGCCAAGTCTAATTTGGCATCTGCCATGGAAATGATATGCAGATTGTTAATTGCACAAACCTTAAATATTCAAGTTGTCTTTGGCTGTCTGTCTCAGGTATAAAAATATAACTCTTTTAATATTTATCTACAAACGGGGTATCTGTTTATACATTTATCTTTCACATTTATATCCTGCCTTATGGGCTTAGCCAGGATCCGCAAGGCAGATTAATCTGGTGAGGATGTCCCTGAAACCTAAAAATATATAGTGATTTTATGAAAATCTCACTTCTTCCCCCCCCCCAAAAGAGCTGTAGATCATTTGATATTTGGGAAATGGTCTTTTTGGAACACATTTTATAATACGTAGCTGGTAGGGAACAGTCCTGTGACACTATCCTGTCTACAAAAACTGACTGACAGTACGAAATCTTCCAGAATTTTTGCATGGGTTATTAATGCCTGGGTTTCTTAATAAAAGAAAGAAAAAAGCTTAGCAGCTATTGTTGGGCCACAGCTCCCATAATCCCTGGCCACTGCCCATGCTATACTTAACTGCTGTGGCTTTTTTCGCTTACCCCATCCCACTGTCCTGCTCACAGTTGTGAAGAATATTCCAACGTTTTGAATGGCCCATGTCACCATTCAGAAAAAGAGGTCGGAATAGGCCAATAGATATGTGGACTGTCCCTGGATCAAGTGACTTTTCTTCTTTAAATTCTTAAACTAGCTCGGGTTAGTTTTCTGAACTAAAAGGTAAAGGGACCCCTGACCATTAGATCTAGTCGTGTCCGACTCTGGGGTTGCAGCGCTCATCTCATTTTATTGACAAAGGGAGCCGGCGTACAGCTTCTGTGTCATGTGGCCAGCATGACTAAGCCACTTCTGGTGAACCAGAGCAGCGCACGGAAACGCCGTTTTCCTTCCCACCGGAGCGGTACCTTTTTATCTACTTGGATTTGACGTGCTTTCGAACTGCTAGGTTGGCAGGAGTAGGGACCGAGCAACGGGAGCTCACCCCCTTGCAGGGATTCAAATCGCTGACCTTCTGATCGGCAAGTCCTAGGCTCTGTGGTTTAACCCACAGCGCCACCCGCAAGGTGTTTAACTGAAAATCAATCACAGTCAGTGCATCATTTGTAAAATAAGACTTTAGAGCCACCTTGCCCCAAAATGGCAACTAGACATTCCATTTTGGTGACTGTAACCTTGCTTTAAGGGGCCATTTGGCACCTAGCTTATACATCTGAGTTTCTAATACTGCTTTTGGTCACCAGTCGTGCCCCACTTGCTGATGTCGCCCTTTGCTTGCTCATGCCTTCGAAATGATTCCCTCTGTAGCACGTGGCTTGGCTTGCTCACTTGAGCCAGCTGCAGAGCTAATCTCTCGGCAGCACATCTGCTGTCTATTTATGGCACGCAGTAATCTGAGTGGTGGAAGTTGATGGGAGAGAGGCGGGATTGGCAGGTGGGCGGGCGGGCTTTGCAGGAAAGGCTTCACCTTTGTGGCCTTTTGGCTTCTCCCAGCAATTCTGCGCGTTCAGAAGCACCAGCAGCTGCCTTGTGCTGATTTAGAACATTTCCCATCCTGCTCAGTGTGGTCTCAGTTGACTGACAGTTGCTCTCCAGGGTTTCAGACAGGGAGCATGCCAGCCCTACGTGGAGATGGCGGGGATTGAACCTGCTGCCGCCTGCGTGTAAGTCAGATGCTCTGCCAGGGAGCTGCAGCCCTTCCCTTAATGTCTGTGCTGTCAAATGGCATTTCAGAACCAATTAGATTAAAATAAAATCTCCGCAGAGTACCAAACGCAGAAATAAGCCTGCATCTGTGCAAGAGTTTTCAGTGTGGCAAGTGACAGCATCAGCCTCATCTCTGCAGTGCTGAATCTGGGATACCTTCACCTTAAAAGCTGATGAAATTTCAGGCAACAGCTCTTTCACTGGGGGGGGGGGATGCCCCAACTAGTTACGCAATCCTGGCTAGCAAGTTAGACTCCCTGTTCTTCTCTCCTGCTTGGGGATCTGGATGTGCCTTCGTTCGTTGGTTTCTTCTTTGAACCTCTCCCAAAGGCTCTGCCACGCTGGGCACCCGGTGCCCCTGCGCCCTAATCACAGCCAGCAAATTAACAGAATCCTGGCTTACCATTTGCAAAAGTCCCGACTGGGAAGGAGCGGGCTCTAAGCCTCCATTAATCCTACCTGATGGTTTATCTCTTTGATCTGATTGCTGCTGCGGTGGCTTTTAGGTGGCTTTTAACGTGGTGGCTCCTTAATCTGATACAGGGAGGGAGGCTGGAGCTTCCAAGCAGGTTGGGATTAACTGGGTCTAATCGCCTGAGCCTGTTAGAGGGCCCGTCTGCTGGATGTGTGATTAACAGTCGCGGGATCCTTGCCGTGCTGGAAAACACAGGGGGTGAAGGACAAAATGGAAGGTGCGTCTGAGTTTGAGGTGGCAGGCATTGAACCTGCAAATCGTGCAGTCCACTTGGGGTTGAGTTTCAAGTGGCAAAGCTCCTGTTTTGTATCAGGAAGGGTGGGGTTCTGCCTCCAGCATCCTAAATCTACAACACTTCTCATTCTTTCTGGAAGTGCCATTGTAGGGCATGGAGACCATTCTGCGTGAAGGGAGAGATCATAGCTCCATAGCAGAGCATCTGCTTTGCATGCAGAAGGTACCAGGTTTGGTGCCCTTCAGGTGAGGCTGGTCAGGGCTTCCCACCTGAAGCCTCGTAGAGCCGCTACCTGTCAGCACAGACAGTTCTGAGCTAGATAGACCCATGATAGACTTGGGGGAAGGCCAGTTCCTAGGTTTCTGTGGGTGCGGAGATCATTCTGTAACTCTTTTGTGGGAGGAACTAGACCTGGACTATGGAGCCGGTGGCCTTTCAAATGTTGTCATACTACAGTTCCCATCATCCCCCATTGTCCATGCTAGTGGGGCCGATGGGTGCTGGAGTCCAGCGACACTTCGAGGGCACCTGTCTAGACTTCAGTAGCATGGAGAACCTCATGCACAATGGTACAAAACCAAATCCTATCTTAGATAGGCATAGAAATCATGTGAAACATGTCTGATTCTTTTTTTAAAAATTTATTTATTACATTTTTTTTAATCCCTCCCTCCAAGGTGGACATGTTCGTCTTTTCCCTTCAATTTTGCCCTCCCAATTTTCCCTTCTGGCTCCCTTTGAGCATTTTGGCCTGGCTGGAATATGCACCCCCCCCCCAGCCGATGGAGGATAGAGATGGAGATGTCTGAGTGTGTGCAGTAACTAGTAGGAAGTCTTGGAGCCAGGCTTGGATGCCTGGCTTGTGTAAGGCATGATTACTCTACCTGCAGTCCATTTAATATATTGTAGACTGAGGGGAGAAGGAGGGAGGCTGGATTTTAAATCCCAGGGGCTGGAGACTGTGCAGGTGAGAGCCTAGTAGGGTGGCTTATGTAGACTGAGTGTTGAGATCCTTGAGCCAGGCGTACAAATGCCAGGCGTACAAATGCCAAGCCCAATGCGGAAGTAATTAAAGCGCCTTTTGCAACCCACTCATTAAGTGCTGCTTCATCTCTAATTAAGCTAATTGTGATCTGCAGCTCGGTCCTGCTTTTCTCTCTTTTTGCCCTCCACAGCCACCTGTGGCTTTCTGGGTTCGGTAAGCTACCAAAGGGGAACAGTTTGCAGGCGGGGTGGGTGGGGTCTTAGAATTGCCTGCCTCTGGAGTTGGAAAAACAAAGCGTCTTGTTGCTGGGCTCAGGGGTTTTTTTTTTGAAAGAGAAGCGTCACGGCTGAAGGTTAGCCACAAGTTTTAAAGACATCTGCTCTCTTTATCAGGAGAGTAACATTCTCCTGTAACCAGCCCCAGTCACCAGTCTGCCCAGACCATTTTGGACCAGCTGGAGCTTCTAAACACTTTCCAATGTCAGCCCCAATGACATGAGACACGCCAGCCGTCTTAAAGAGACCCAGTCTGGACCCATGTTGACTGTCTTGGCAAAAGCTAAGGGTGATTCCCTGTAAAGTAAAAAAAAAAAAAGATTGTTGGGTTTGCAGGAGGTTGGGCTAAATGACCCTTTGGATTCCTACAGTTCTATGATTCTGTGACTTGATGGGCCTTTGGTCTGACTGATGGATCCTTGGCCAAGCCTTCATAATCTAGAACACATCCAGCACTCACCAAAGACTGCGCATTGCAGGGAAAGAACAACCACAGCAGACTTTCTCTGTCTTCCAGGATACAGTGGTACCTCGGGTTACATACGCTTCAGGTTACAGACTCTGCTAACCCAGAAATATTACCTCAGCTTAAGAACTTTGCTTCAGGATGAGAACAAAAATCGTGCTTTGGCGGTGCGGCGGCAGCAGCAGGAGGCCCCATTAGCTAAAGTGGTGCTTCAGGTTAAGAACAGTTTCCGGTTAAGAACGGACCTCCGGAACGAATTAAGTACTTAACCCGAGATACCACTGTAGTTGGTTTGCCGTGGGTGATCCTTTGTTTACAATTGGCCGATACATGAAATTCTTCAGCATAACTAGTCCAAGCCCATCTCTTTTGCAGGCTGCGGGAACAGTGCTCTGAGCTACAACCTCTTCCAGCTGGGCTATACAGACATCACCAGCATTGACTACTCACCCATATGCATTGCAAGCGTGCAAGACCGCTATGCCCATTGCCCAGGCCTGCACTGGGCAGTGATGGACGCTCGGGCCTTGACCTTTGTGGATGGGAGCTTTGATGTGGTGTTGGAGAAGGGCACTCTGGATTCCATGATGGTGGAAGAAACGGACCCATGGAATGTCTCCTCCGAGGCTAGGATGCTTCTGGATCAAGTGTTAACTGAGGTGAGCGGCAAGAATTCCTGTTGGTACCTGGGCCGGATGGCACCATCTTCAACCATTTCCATGTGTGACTTCTTGAATCTTGGCCTGTTCCCAAACTTTAAGGACATTAGACAAGCATCACTACATTGGGGTTGTTGTTTTTTCTTGCTTGCTGTTCAGTGCTGCAGAATCACACATCTCTGGTGGGAAAAATCTATCCTGGCTTATGTTTCTAGTGCTCATGTTCATGACTGCAAAGTATCTGATCTCTATCTCTGTCCTGTGATCTGGCCTTCCGTCATTCTGCTATCACACAGCTCCTTTCCGGGGGGAGGGGGGGCATTCCACAAACCCCAAGATCTGCAAAGGCTGAAATATCGGATCCAGAGCAAGGAAGCAAGCTACCAAATCCCATTCAAAATATTTTATTTATTAAATTTATATAATGCCCTTCATTCAAAGATCACAGGGCAGTTTACAGTATAAAAACACAAAATGCATAATATAATAAGCAAACAAGCAATATATATAAAAACTGATCCTCACAAATGAATCTGAATGTGGGATATTGAGTTCGCGAGATGCAAAATGTAGATTGCGAACACAGCTTAGGCAGCCCTAGAAATCTTGTCTTCCCCCTCCATTTCCCAACATATTCCCCCCTGACTACTAGAAAAAGTGTGGATTGGGCTCATATATAAAAAACACATTGAATCACCCAAAAACCGTGTCCTTTTAAACGGGGTTGTTGGAGTGGAGGACCTTGTCTTCTCCTACATTCTACCTGTGTTTCAGGACTGATCCTGACCACGATGCCCCTTCCATGGCCTCCTAAAATTGACAGCCGTCCTCCTGCAAGAAGTTTTGTAAGGAGGACTATGAGAAATATTGCAAGGAAAATTTGTGAATAGAATTACTAGTTAAGGGTTATTAAAAGTAATAGTGAAATTAATGAAATGCAGATTAAGATTAAGAGCGAAAAATCTACAGAAGTAGCTGATGGAAGTCCAAAACATTGTATAAGATAAGAATATATGTTATATGATTTTTGGAAAATATATGTAAAATTTAATTTAAAACATTTAAAAAAAATTGACAGCAGTCCTCAGCCAAGTCAAGGTGGTAAATGACATAAAGGGCAGCATGCCTCTCCCCCCCCCCAAAAAAATCGCCCTCCCATTATGGGGTTTGACAATCAGCCTGTAGCTTCCTTGTTCCCCTAGACCCCTAGGGCCTAGGGGTTTGATACCATTCTGCAATGGGGGGGGGCAGTTGTGCAGATGCACCCAAAGCATTTGCTGCCAGAGGGAGGGGTGAAGGGGTTGTGGGAAGGGGGGGGAAGGATAGGATTCATTGGCGGGGGGGGGATGAACAATTTCCCAAGCAAGCTTATTTTTGGGATGATAAGAAGAAAGCAGAGTCAACAGCCTCCTGCCAACCAAGGGGGGGCATTATAGTTTGTTTTCATTCTAGCTTTTATCTTGTATTTTGTGGGGGGGGTTAATTTTTATGTTACGGATGAAGGGCGGCATACAAGTTTAATAAATAAAAACAAACAGCACTTGTTGAGGCTCTGATGCCGGAAGAGTGTGTCTTCTCCCCACCCCCGTCAGTTTTTCTTCTGCCGTCCCCCCCCCCCACTCCCAACCTTTCAGTATCTTGCACATTAATGTATTTTTTGGGGGGGGGGAATCTCTCTTTTTTTTAAATAATATTTTTATTCATTTTCCACAAAAGAGAAAAAAAGAAAGGGAAAAAAAGAAGAAAAACAAACAAACCATTTTTTATACAATCAATTCACATTTTATCACACATTCCTCTCTCTTTTTGACTTCCCTCAGCTCCTCTGCCGATCTTTCGTTTGCGTCAATATTATTAACGCATTTCTTAACTTAGTAGTGCCTTTAGATATCTCCTTCCCTCCTCTTATTCTCTTTTTAACAATATTCCTCTGTTTTTCACAGAGTCTCTTAAAAACCAACAAACGTTATCTGCTCATCACATATGCCTTTCAGATAATCTGTAAATCTTCCCCAGTCCTCGATGAACTTTTGGTCTCGTTGATACCGAATCTTCCCTGTTAGTTTGTCAGAATCTCTTCCCTCTTTCTCCGCCACAAAAAGAGAGAGAAGGCCCAGCTTGAATCCCCCCCCCCGGTTGCCATGGCAATGCCGCTCTGTCATCAATGGCTGCTTGCAGATGGCAGGGTTTGAGTCGGGAGGAGAGAACTTCTTTTTCATGTTTTTCTGGTTAAAGGGGTAGCCCCAGGGAAGTGTCCTGTTTGCAGCATTTCCGTGGGACTTGCATTGGGGGGGGGCAGGTTGGTAGCAGCAGCGTGTGGATGTGGGGGAACAGCTCACAGCACGCTGAGCATCTTCACCCCGGGGGGGGGAGGATGCACTGTTGTTGCCAATAGGCCTCTGGCGTCTTGGGCTAAGAAAGTGTGGGGGGGGACAGAATGTGTTGATATCCATTGGCCCCCCCACCCCATTTTGCCTGTCTTTCCCTCTTATTAGCTTCAAGGATCTCTTTTTTCCTTAAATCCCCCCCCAAAAAAATGGTCAGCTGGTTCTCCCTGTTTCCATGGAAACCCTCATCCCTATTGACTAGGCCATGGTATTGCAATAGGGACAGGCAATGCCTCCAGGCTGTTATTAATTGGTCTGATGTGTCCATAGCAGCGGGAACCATATTGAATTTGGCTGTGTGTGTTTTATTTTATTTTTATTTTTTGCGGGGGGGGGGGTTAGGAGAGTACAGGATTGGAAATCATGGCTCTCCACAACAAGGAGAGAGGAAGGGAGAGGAGAAGGATGCTTCTACACTTATTCTCTCTCTCTCCTCCAATCCTTCTCCTCCTGCATTTCTCCCTCGTGGCTCTGTATTTCAGGGCTCTTTTTGCATTCATGTGGCGAAAGATCTTTGCTGAGTTTCCACCAAAGGAGATGGAGGGGGGAAAATGTCTTCACTTGCTTGGGACAAATGCCCGCGGGTGGCTAGTGGGTGGTATCTAGCTTAGCTCCACTCACGAGTAGACCCACTGGAATGAATTGGCAGGAATGCAGGAAGCTGCTGTCCGCTGAGCCAGGCTGCTGATCCAACCAGCTCAGTATTGCCGGCACTGACTTACAGCATCTCTCCAGAGATTCAGGCAGGGAGCCACGCACAGATATACCTGTGGAGGCTTTGTATCCTTCTGTGTGTCAAGGCAAGTGCTCTACCACTGAGCCATTAATTTCTGTGGACCTACTCTGAGTAGGGTTAATGTTGGATAACCCCCACAGTAGCTCTAGAGCAGCTGGAGTCGTTTTCCCTCCCGTTCTGCCTCCGCCTCCCATTTTTCCCCATCTGATTTCCCACCCGGCCAATCCCCTGCTTGAGTGCTTTCGGTGGGTGATTCCGTGGGTCAGTCCCTCTCCTCTCTGCTGCTGCCCTTGAGGGATCCTGCCATGTAGGTCCCTTGTGTCTCTCTGGCAGAGGCAGGCGAGGGGATCAGTCCTCCCCTCCCTGCACCCCCCCTCCCCACGGCGAGGCTTCCTGCCCCACAAACTCCCCAGCCCTCCTGAGGAACCGGGAGACTCTCTGGCTGGCATCCTCAGATGACCTCTACTGTCGAGCAGAGAGGGAGCATCTGTGCAAGGTCTCCTGGCGAGGGGCTGGGTGCTTTGGAGTGATCTCCCATTTCCCTTGGAGCTAGCAAGCCAGGCTGCAGCGACAGAGCCGTTTAAAGTGACTCCAGAATCTCCACTTCATTTCAGCCATTTCCAGAGAAAAATGTTGGGGGGGGGGAGGGGAGAGAGAGAGAGGAGGCAGACCTCATTTTGTTAAATCTAGCACATCAGAGTAAAAGGGTTTTCTCTGTGCTGTCTTTACAAAGGTGAGCTGTCAAAGGTGTGATAAAGTTCTAGTCAAGAATTCTATCGCCTCATATATTTATTTAAAGTTTTGTGCTTAAAAAAAAAAACCCAACACAATCCCACGCTATAGCCAACTTCCAGAGCAGTTTCCAGATCGATAAAAATGAGAACGTCTCTACCCTCAGGCTTTCAATCTTAACAGGGCACGGCACTAAAGGAAAATGCACTGGGAGGGAGGAGGAAATAAGCAAGCTCGGGTTCAAGGTCTTGATTGCTAGTTGTTCTGATGGAAAGGAAAGTTCAAGGAGAGGATGCTCCAAAGGCTGCCAGTCTTTTGGCTGTGCCAGCGGAGTGGTCTTGTATCCTACCTGTTCCCTCTGCTGCTGCAGCCGGGCTTCTGGCAGGTGACAAAGAGCCTCCTACCTGCTGCATGTTATTGTGTTGAATGGTGGAAAAAGCTCGCTACCCAAGTGGCAGTCTTGGACACTGGGTTTTGTGTCACCATCTCAACTTGCTGCATGTGAGAAGCCTTATGTTGAGAAGCAGTAAAATGCGCACACACAAAATGGTAACCCGCCCCCCTGCAGTATGAAGTGGCACGATCCAAAAGTTTAGCATCTTCAACTCTAGTGCACAAAGGAGGTTGCAAACTTGTGCCTGGACTGTACCATTTCAGGCTGAAGGTGGGGGTTCACATGATTGAATTCCCCTCCACACAACAAACCAATGTGATGTGTAGGAAGTCAGACTACAGCACACTTTGCCCTTCCATGCTAGTCTTCAGGGAATGTTTTTGTGAACTTCCACCTGCTACATTCTGAACTGGTTTATTCCAAGTATAGGTTTACCAACTGAATTGAGAACTAGGCAAGGCAGGGGGCAGCAGCCTTTTGGGGAAGGGGGTGAGTAGGGCATATTTGTAATTTTGAGAAAGTGCGCTGGCTGCCACTCACAAAATGGCTGCCGTGGGGGCATGGCACAATGGCTGCCATGTCTTTATGAGCAGAAAAAAGAGTCAGGGCCATAAAATGGTGTGGGCATGTTAGCTTATCCGCTACCCCATCCATGGGGTGCTGCACTCCCTCACAGAGAAAAGCGCCTCTCCTCTGTTCAGAATGGAAGGGAGTCTGCATGTCCTCTCCTGGAAACCTGTGAGATGTGGACATGCTCAAGTCGGTGTGTTCGATGTAGGAGAGGCTGAGCTGGCGCAAACAGGAACTGAAGAGGACAAGCAAACAATGCGCTGTTGATTCAGGCGCCATCAAAGCTCCTCGTGAGTGCTAGTGGTGCACACTGCTTGTAAGGGTTAGCTAGCCAGCCTCAGAGCTAAACGGACTCGTGGTGTATGGATCTTGGCTCCTTCACCCAATGCGTTGCAGCTCCAAAGTGTTGCAGAAATAGGGTCCAAAGTCTGGATCTGCAGTCCTAGAAACAATACTTCCCCGCTTCTCTCCCCTCTTCAGTTTAACAGCCCCCCAGAGACTCTGCAATAGCTGCCAGTTGGCCAAAGTCCATGCAGCTGTCTCTAAGCAACAGCATTTCCTGTTCTGATAACTGCAGGCTGCCCTGGCAAAGGGGAAAGCTTACTGGATCTCATTCAGTGAATATGATGGGCCCGCTTGGAATCTTTTCCCCTCTCCCTCTCTCTGTGCCTCACTTGTGTGAGAAACTTGGTTCAGGAGCTGGAGCAGAACATCTCTCTTCCCTCTCCCTCCTTCCATGCAGTTGGACTTGGGTGCATCTTCTGCACATAGACACACACACCCATACACACACCCATACACACCTCATCCGCACTGCTTGCTATCCCTTGACACCAGTTTACACTGGAAGAACACAGCCCTTAATTCCAGTCTAATCCCAGGTTTCTATATGGGACCAATGAGGTGAAGAGCCAGTGTGGTGTAGTGGTTAAGAGCGGTAGTCTCATAATCTGGGGAACCGGGTTCGTGTCTCCGCTCCTCCACCTGCAGCTGCTGGGTGACCTTGGGCCAGTCACACTTCTTTGAAGTCTCTCAGCCCCACTCACCGCACAGAGTGTTTGTTGTGGGGGAGGAAGGGAAAGGAGAATGTTAGCCGCTTTGAGACTCCTGAAGGGGAGTGAAAGGCGGGATATCAAATCCAAACTCTTCTTCTTCTTCTTCTGAATTAGAATTCCCTTCTCTGAGAGCCAGTGGTTGTGTAAACTGGAGGTGGCCTGCTAGGAAATCCACAGGGCAATATTTTTAGGGAAGACTTGACCTGCAATATTGAAATCCAGGTCTAGATAAATAAGAACATAACATCCATCTAGTCTAGCATCCTGTTCTCACAGGGTCCCTGTTACGCAGAAGAATTATTGCATCTGACTGGATTTGTCTAATTCTCCTTTAAAGCCCTCTAGGGTGGGGCCATCACGGGCTCCTGTGGGAGCGAGTTCCATACTTTAAGTATATGCTGCCAGTTGAGCCTTCCTGCCACAGGTGCTGCCACTGAAAAGGCCCTGCCTTGGGACACCACCACCTGCCTCCTCCTTGGGCACAGAAGGTCCACCAAGGAAGATCTTGAGACAAGGACAGGGATGGGGGACCTGAGCTTCTCCAGGTGTTGTTGGACTCCAATTCCCATCAGCCCTAGCCAGCAAGGCCCAGTGGGGGGGGGGACTGGAGTCTGGCAACATCTGGAAGACCCCAGGTTGTCCATCCCTCTCCTGGAGGTGTGCTGGTGCCAAACCATTTAGGCACGGCGGCATGCCATGTTGAAGGAAGCCCCGCACTGTGTAACAATAATTCGCCTTCTGTTATTTACATGAGGATTCTCAGCTGACCTCCTGCGTTTTGGCTTTTGGGGGCTAGCCTGGACTTCCCCAACATCAAACCCTGCAACTATTTTGCACTTCAGTCCCTTTCGGCCTCAGGCAGCCTGGCCAGCAGTTATATCTTGACTCTCGGATAAAGAAGCAATGTAGAGCCTGGCTCTTTCCCAGATCTGCCTAGTAATTAAGCAAATCGCAGGATTAAACCAAAGCAGGCTTCTCCAGGCTAGAAAGTGAGAGTGAAGCGGCCCAGGGACTTCGTTGGACCATTTCAAGCACTGCCCAAGGCAGCCTGAGTTTCCAAAGCTTTTTGACAAACTTCTTCCCAGTTGTGAAAACTTGCCGCACGCTCCTCCTGCGCCAAGAGGCCGGTTTCTTCACCATGAGGACCACGAAGGCATTCAGCTGTGTGCAATGCCTGGGTGTCTTCTTCGGTCAAGGTGACTTGAATCCTGCAACCTGTATAAATTATGCAGCATTGCACATTTATTCCTGAGGTTGCAGGATGTATATTTCTTGTGGTGTTCTCATAGAGTGGAGGGTGGGGAGTGATGAGGACCTCAAGCCCTCGTCCCCTTGAGCATTGGGGACACTGCTCAGCACCCTCTTCTGTGATTTTACCAGATACTGCTCACAATGCTTTAAAGCAGTGGTTCTCAAACACTCTTTTCTCTGGGCCATACTTTCAGAATAGAAATTTCATTGCGCCTCACCAAATTCTTTTATTGATAAGAAATACAACACAACCAGGATTGTCCTAAGTGTCTCTTGATCCTCTTGCCCTTGTTTTGAAAAGATATCTAGCCACATTCTGCAAATAAAAATATATTATTTTGATGCTATACTACAATGCACTGAAATGTTGAAATGTTTTTGGGATGGCCCTTGAATCTTCCAGATGAAGAAAATATAAAATGCTGATAAACTGCACTCTGGAAGACGGGACAGCACATGGTGAAACAGATGACCCTCAAAGCATGCTTTGAGTGCAATTCTTCCTGGCCACACGAGCAAAAGTATATCCCATTTGGGGACCGGGAAACGTCAAAACACAAGGACTTCCGAGTTCCTTTTTTGCTTAATCCAACCCTTGAAATCCAACATGGATTTATGTGCTGCAGCGGTTCGGACGCGTGCCTGTCCCCCCTTCTGCAACGGCGAGCTCCTTCTTCTCCCCATAATCCTCTTTCCCCCCCTAGCTGCAGAAAAAACACCCTCCTGTCTCTCTCTCTTTCTGTGTGTGTCTCTCTTACAATCGCCTTTGCTCCATTCTAAGAGGACTCTTGCAGCCTCCTGCTACAGGCTGTTCCGGTTAACTGGTGAGTCATGAGAGATGAAGGGCATTCAATCCCCACCTGTCATGGGGAGGAGGGGGTCCGGGCAGCAGAGGGCGGGGGTGTTTCCTGGGCTCCGCTGGGTGCGCACCACCGGCAAGAGCTGCGCAGCACAGTGCAGGGCGGGGAGGGGGGAGGGGGGAGGAAGCAGCCGGGCAGGCAAAGTGCTGGCGGCCGAGCACCAACAGCAGAGTTTAGCATGCCGATCACGCCGTCGCTGGCCGTAAATGCCTTTGACTTTGGATAAAGCCAAGCAAGAAAATTGATGTTCTTTTCCATCCTATTAGCAGGAGCTTAGTTCCAACGAGGAGAAAATGATGATTAAAAGGGTCAAGTCCACTCGGCTTCAAACAAGACGTACCTTGGACACAGTGTCTCTTTAAAATCTTGGCTCAGGAATGTTCTGGGGAGACGGTGGGGAGCAGGAAGAGGAGGAGGAGGAGGAGGAGAGTGGATGCTCATGGAGCAAGGATGGAAGCAGGGTGCCTTGTTCTCGGCTCCACACCACTGGTTTAAATGCCCCCCAAAGGCAAGACATTATGTTGCCTTTATTACTACATAATACCTGTGCAGTAGGACCAGAGCTCAGTAGCAGAGCATCTGTGTTGCATCTACAAGGCCGCAGGTTAAATCCCCAGCGACTTTCCCAAGTGGCCATTGCCAGCCAGGTAGGCCAACGGCGGCTCTTCTCCAAGGCTGGTCCTTGTAGGAGCAGTGGCCCAGATGGGGAGGGTTCTCTGACCAAGAGAAGTAATAACTGCCTTGCTGCATCAGCACAAGCCCACCCTCTCCCCCCCCCAGCAGTCTGTTAGATAGAGATGCGCATTTATAAGAAATCACAAAGGCAATGACATTTCCCTGTTTCCCCACATTTGAGTAGCGGGGAAGATTGGTGGTGTTGCTATTCAGGGGCCTTGCCACACACTGTCACTGACGTCCAAGCCAAAGGCAAATGCTTCCATGATTTATGCATGTTTAAGACTTTCTGTCATGAGGTCTAGAAACTTGCAAGCTGCATGCCAAAACAGAATGGGGAGTGGGATATAGGTGTGCCAAGTGACACAGTGCTTTTCTGTGATGTGAGGCAAGGGCAGAGGAGGAAAGGAGATCCCAGCCTCAGCAAAGAATCTCAGAATCATAGAGTTGGGCCCCCAGGGGTCATATAGACCAACACACACACACAGCTTGCAATGAGTCCTCTGAAATGTTGTCCCTCTTTTCCTCCCAGGTGAGCAGAGTCTTACGCCCTGGCGGCCGGTTCATCTCCATCACCTTTGCTCAGCCGCACTTCCGCAAGCGCCACTACGCCCAGCCAGCCTACGGATGGTCCGTCCGGCACGCCACGTATGGGAGCGGATTCCACTACTTCATCTACGTCATGCGGAAGGGCGAGGAGCTGTCCCCTTCCGACTTGGCACTGGGGCAGAGCCTGCACCTGCCTCCCCGGACTCCGCCCCCTCTACGCTACCTCCAGGACCCAGACAGTGAGAATTTTCTCTCTGCCATTGACCTGTGAGCGGCTGGCAAGGAATGGGGTGGGGTGGAGAGAGGGGGCACATAAAACTGCTCTCGTGACCACGTGCCAATCTGCCTGCTGCTGCTGCTGCTGCTGCTGCTGAACTGCCAGAGTCAACATTTTCTCCCAAGTCATTTTGGGCAATTTCCTGCATACAGTATTCATTTTTTGAATTAAGAAAGAAAGAAAGAAAAAAGCTGCAGTTGGCAACGGGAGCCAATTCCCCATGGAGCTGGATGGGAACGTTTTCTGCAGCCAAATCTCTTGTAAGAAAGGAACATTTCCCTCCCCCTTTCTGCATCTTCTCTTGTGCCTGCACTTTGGAGCTGTGAACCCCGTCCGTGGAAACGGGCAAAGTGTTGGAAACTCTGGTGGTTGTTTTTAAATCTCACTGCTGTGCCTTGAAATCCCGCGATCCCCAGGTTCTGCTGGGGTGGTGCTATACAGAGTGGGCTCCTTCAGTAAGCATCTCAATGGAGAGGAAGATCTAGAGTCTGTGGCCGCCCTCTCTGCCATCTTGAAATGTGGCTTTATTCCGCTCAGCTGGTTTTTTAAAGGCAAGTGACTGCCAGTGCTGCCTTCACATCTGGCCCTGCCTGTGACAAGCAGCAGAACAGAAGGCCCAGGACAAGTCTCTTCTGAGGCTCTTGCACACTTTTGAGGGTCCTCTACAGCAGTGTTCCGCAACCTTGGGCCTCCAGCTGTTTTTGGACTACAATTCCCATCATCCTTGACCACTGGTCTTGCTAGCGAGGGATGATGGGAGTTGTAGTCCAAAAACAGCTGGAGGCCCAAGGTTGGGGAACACTGCTCTACAGCATTCCACTAAAATATCCCAGATTCTGCAACTTGGAACCACAGTTCTGCAATCTGAATTCACTGGGCAGATTAACTATGAGCATAAGAGTGGACTTCTGCATGCTTTGTCTGTTTTGCTTTGGATAATTTTTTATGCCAAATCGAAGGGTGGAAGCTGTGTCACTTCCTGGGAAAGGGGAATCATCAGATTTAACTAGAAGCAAAGGAGGAGCAGGGTTCCTGTTTCCGTTGCCATTGTATGCAGAAATTGCGCGCATAATTGTGGCTTTGTTTAGCAGGAGTGAAAAGTTGTGCCTCTCTTCTGCACAGCCGTTAAAGGCAGAGCCAACCCCTTTGCACCTGGTCCTGGAAAGCCTTGCAAAACATGGCTGTCTCATGGAATTGGGGTGAAGGTCCATTGGATATTAACAAAAGCTGTTGTTGATTTGAAATGCGTAGAGAAACAAACTTCATTTAAGCATTTAGAAACCAGACTAATGTGCCATTAGTCCCACAAAGATCATGGTGACTAGAACCCTCACTGCCCTGTTTTTAATGCCAGTGCATTTTTAATAGCTGCACACAATGTGTGGGCTACACATACTGGGGAAAGAGGATCTGTTGCAAGGTCATCATTCATATGAATAGCATTTCCTGGTTAGGACTAGTAAAGAAAGTGATGGCTGACGTAAATTATAGGTAGGGTTCAATGTGTATGCCACAACCCTTAAGGAGACAAGAGAATGCACGTAATGTAAAATTGAGAGTTGTGTGTGTGTGTGTGTGTGTGTGTGTGTGTGTGTGTGTTTAAACACACACATTTCTAGCTCTTAACAGCTGCAGAAATGTGCTTGAAAATCTGTCATCTCCTGTCTCAGAAGCTGAAGTGTCGTGGCTTGAGTTAGCAATTCCCATTTCTGGGCGAAGAGGTTCTGCGTACCCTGCGCAGACCTTTATTCCATCTCCAAGATCCCATCTCGTCTAGCATCCTGTTTCCTTAAGTTGCCGGCCAGATGCTTCCAGCCCCACCCCAGTTGTTACTCCCTACACAAGTGAGATGGGATGGTGGCTACAAACCACAATGGCCCAGCCCTGCCTCTCTGGCTGGAAGCTGTGTGCTTCTGGAAACCACCAGAGGAGAGAGTTGTTGTTGAGCTCAGGTCCTGCTTGCATCTGGTTGACCACTGTGAGAACAGGGTGCCGGACTAGATGCGTCCCTTGGCCTGGTCCATCAAGCTGCTCTCAACGTTTACTGCCTCTGAGGTTTTGTTCAGCTCTTGTGCTCGATAGCTGTCGCTCTCCTCCACAATAGAACCTTCCCAGGACTAGTAAACTCAATAATGTTGTTTGAAATAAGAGTACATACGTTTTTCATGGAGTTTTTTAAATACAGGCTGTTCTTGATGCACAATTTGGAGGGTTAAATTGATGCAGAACTTAATATTTATTTATATTTGCACAGAGCAAACACGCGGACCGTTAAGTGAAATCAGCAGGCAGGATAAAATCAGGACCTGGAACACACTGGGATCTTTGTTTCACAACAGGCAAACCCTGGGTCCAGGGCAGAATAAAACAGCCCCACCCCACCCCTAGTTTGAAGAGGGGAGGCCAACTCAGCGGAAGGAAAAAGCCCAGTTCACCCTGCAGAGAAAACTCTGGACCAAACTTGCCGGGAGCTCTTCCTTTGGCAGGTCACTAACAGGCCCTGCCCAGGGTCACTGAGTCATTTACATAGGAAGAGGACAGTGTTTAGTAGTGGTTAGAGTACCAGACTAGAACCTTGGCGACCAGAGTTCAAATCCCTGCATGGCCACAAAGCTCACTGGGTGACCTCAGGCCATTCACTGCCTCTCAGCCTAACCTACCTCACAAAGGTATACGTGCAATGAAGTAATTAATTTAATTAAACTGACGTCCACTTTGCAACAGTACTTCAGGTTTCCAGAGAAGGGAACATTTCCAACCCTACCTGGAAATGCTATTGGGGATTGAACATTTGGCAAGCAGGGCAGGTGCCCTGCCAACAAGGCTCAGTCAGTAGAGCGTGAGACTTTTAACCTCAGGGTCGTGGGTTCGAGACCCACGCTGGGCAAAAGATTCCTGCATTGCAGGGGGTTGGGCTAGATGACCCTCGTGGTTCCTTCCAACTCTACAATTCTGTGAGTCCCCGAGAAGCACCTGAGTGATCCCTGACAGATGGCAGCTTGCCTCTGCCCCTGTAGCCTCGATGCAGCTCTGCAAAGGTCCCTGCCGGGCTGTGCAGAATTTCACGGCTGCCCGGCAGTGAGCAAAGGGTGTTTGTGTTAAAGGGCGTTGTGTTCAGTGGCTTCCGGGCAGAGCCCCTGCCTCATTACCTCTGCTGCCACCCCCTCCGTTGGTTAATGTTGGAGGAAGTCCAGCTGCCTGCTCTTTGTGGATGTTAATGAAACTGCCAGGGAACCTGTTAATCATTTTAATGCTCCCCATCCGTCTTGCATGAGGAAGAGAAGGGAAGGGACCACTGTACTGCCTCTTCTCTCTCTCTCTCTCTCTCTCTCTCTCTCTCTCTCTCTCCTGCCGATGCAGATCTCACAGGAGCTGGGGGCGAGGGGGGGGAGAGAGAAGTGCGCAGAGATGGAGGCTTTCTGTTTCATCTTCTGCCATAAGCAAATTGCTTTAATCCTGTTTTTCTCCCTTGAATAATTGGGAAGCCCAGTGCTCGTGGGGGAGGGGGCACAGCACTGGGTGCCTAGTTTTCATCTCAGTAGTACCTCTTCCTCTGCACAATGATGTTCACTTAGAAACCAGCATTTGATGTTTCCAGACTGAGCATCCTGGAATTTGTGGATGTGACTTAATGGGCTGCTACATCTCCCTCCCCCCTTCCCTGCTACCCTTTCTCTCCCTCCCCCCTTCCCTGCTACCCTTTCTCTCCCCCCCCCTTCACCTACCTACAGCCACAAAATGTGCAGATATCTTTTCCAGAGTTCACAGGCTCTCGCTTTAACAGAAATAGTTCGGTGCAGCAGCGATATTCACAATGGCATCTGTGCACTCTTTTGCAAGCCAGTGAATGCAATTGGTGGAGAGAGAGGCTATGCCTTGCCTGCTTTCCACATCTCTCTTTTTACCATGAATTCATTTGGCACCTGCCTTTAACTGCAAATTAAAAGTGTGGGTAATTTCTTTAAAATAAAAAAAAGTGATTTAATCAGAGTCTTCTCTCCCTCTGAAGGGGTGTCCAGGGCTGTTTATAATAATCTCTACACATCTCCCTCTCTCTCTCTCTCTTTCATAATGTAAATGTTACAGTTATATAAATGACACAAAGTGCCCCTCGAAGCAGGATGCTCAAAACCCAAACTGTTGTGCACTTTTAAATTGCAAAATAAGCTACCAGTATGTGTGATCTGTGTACATCTCTCAGATTGGGACAATGTATTCTGAAATCATGTCTTGATACAGTTAAATGTCTTACAAGTATTAAAAGGCACTTTGTGTTTTGATGACATTTATTGGGGGTTGGGGGCTTTTAACCCAAAATCCTCCTCTTCCTAATGTTTGTTAGTTCTTGGGTTTTTAACCAGCTATTATAAGTATGAGGCAATTCAGATTTGAGATAATGGGATTCATACCCCAGACCTGCCAAGGATGAATTGTTTGTGACCTTGTCCTGGTCACCATCCCTCAGCCTTGCTTCCCAATTTGTAAAATGGGTAAAAAAACAACCGTGAAGACACTTTGAAGTTTAGAAGTGTTGTGTAACAGATGAAGGCTTTCCAGGAAACTTAATGTAGGCCTGCGTGGACATTAGTATCTATGCTCAACTCTCATTTGCTTGGATAAAAATATAATGTGTAGTTAATTTGCTGTAAAATCTCATTCATTCTGACCCTTTTCATTTTACGTGGAAGCAAGTTCTGCTGACTTCTTTGGGTCTTACTTGAGAGTAAGCTTGCACAGAATTGCATGGGGGATAAAATGGAACCCTGAGAAACCCCACACTGTGGGCTCCGTGGGGCTAAAGAGCACTCCCCAAGTATCACTCTCCAGAAACGTCCATCCAAGCAGGGCCAGAACCACCGCAAATCAATGCCACCCACGCTTTAACTTGGACAGCCTCTCCAGAATTATACCACTGTTGATGGTATCGAAAGCCGCTGAGAGGTTGAAAAGAACAAAGAAGGACACATGTCCCCTATCCCTCTCTCAGCAGAGGTCATCATACCAGGTGACCAATGCAGTTTCTGTGCCAAAACCAGGCCTAAACCCTGATTAAAACAGATCTAGAAAATCAGTTTCTTCCAAGAGCGCCTGGATCTGGTCTGCGACCACTTGCTCAAGAGTCTTGCCCAAGAAGGGGAGATTGGCAACTTTACTTATATTTTCCAAATCTGGGGAGAGTTTATTGAGGAGTGGTTTTACTACCGCCTCCTTCAAGCAGGCAGGTTCTACCTCCATTGCAAGGAGGCATTAATCACCTCCCTGGCCCAGCCAGCTGCCCTCTCCCTGTTAGTTTTCATCAGCCAAGGAGGCAAGGGTCCAGAGTGCAAGTGGTCGCCCTGACCGATCCAAGCACCTTGTCCACATCCTCAAGCCTTACTAGCTGAAACTCATCTAACAGGATTAGGTAAAAGGTCCCCCCCAAAAGGGTAAAGGACCCCTGACAGTTATGTCCAGTCAAAGGCGACTATGGGGTTGCAGTGCTCATCTCGCTTTCAAGCCGAGGGAGCTGGTGTTTGTCCACAGACAGCTTTCCACGTCATATTGCCTGCATGACTAAACCGCTTCTGGCGCAATGGAACACCGTGACGGAAACCAGAGCACATGGAAATGCCATTTACCTTCCCACTACAGCAGTACCTATTTATCTACTTGTGCTTGTATGCTTTTGAACTGCTAGGTTGGCAGGAGTTGGGACAGAACAACGGGAGCTCACCCTGTCACAGGGATTCGAACTGCCAACCTTCTGATCGGCAAGCCC